GGTCAACTTCCTCAGTAGACATCCAAAGCTGGATAGAGTACTGTAGTTAAAACCTCAGTGTTGAGTAAAAATGTTATTTAGTATGTGCAGAAATGCCATTTATCAAAATTAGTGTCTTTCCTGTTTCATAATACAACAGCTTTGATTTCAGTTTGTAGTGCACTGTCAGTCCATATCCGTCTCCATGTAATTCCTGCCTATTCAGATTTTCTTACTTTGTGCTTCTCCAGATGATTATTCTGAAGGGTACTATTTTGCTCTTCCTGTTGAAACTGTAGTCTGTGACAGCTTAGCTGGCTGAATTGCAGAAGACAGGTTATTGGAGATTGAACAGAAGGAATGTGAGGAGGAACTACGGAAGATTTTGTGTAAAAAGTATTAGGTGACTGCCTCTGGCACTGGGGAGGAATTAGTCTTTGGGAAATCAACTTTACCATCTGGCCAGAAGTGTTTCCTCTTAGGATTCAGTTTTACTTTTCAAATAGTCCATGTGTGTGCACCCTCCTCTTGGAGGGAGAGCAGGCTGGAAGTTCGTACCAGTATTTGCTTTTTCGTGCTCGAGCAGCTTTTGTTGTCTGATGGAATACTGTGCTTTCTGGAAAAAAGTTACAGAAAACAACTATGTCATGCAGAAAGCAGAATGATCATAAATTAAGTCTTCTTGATTTCTCTAGTGCTATGAGAAGGGATACAAGAAGGTAGTCGTACAGTCCCAGTTGGTCTGTCCTGGTTTTGTTGTGTGGAGATTCCTATAACACGTGAAAATCTTGATTGTTTAAGCTTGCTTATATGACGAAAGAGGAGGAAGGCCTTTTTTTTCTCAGCAGAAGAAATCACATACTGTTTAAACAAACACTTCCCACACACTGTACCAAGACAGCTAAAGGTACTGTAAGTCTATTCCTATATTTTTTTAATGTTTCAGAATTATTGTGTCTAGGAATAAAATTTCTCTTTTAATTTATTTTGAAGTGCATACCTCCAATTAGTTTTTGTAAGGGCAGACTTTTCCCTCTTTCTGTTAAGTTTATGGAAACTACATGCTGTGGAGATACTTCTTTCACTGTTTTTTTGGAGGTGTTATCTTAACAGGAGCATCCTAACAGTGGACAGTCAGGCTGCTTTAAAAACTCATATATTAAGCTACATATTCATTTCGGGATGTCTAAACCAACATACACTTCGGGTGTGTTCTGGACTGCGTGCTTTTCCACAAAAGCTCCTGTAGAAGACATTACAGAATCTCTGCAAGATGCAAGATGATTATAATGGTATGTATTGCCTCTGACTCATGAGCTGTATACCAACACAGCGCAAGGGTTAAGGGCAAGATAAAATCACTTACTGCTGTTTTTGTTTCCTGAGGGTTTATTGTTTTTATGCAAGAAATGGAGAGTGGAGTTCCTTTTGTGAGGACTGTGCCAGAGTTTGAAAGTATGGGCTAAAAGTGTTTCTGTCAATTGTGATGCCATTCATAGCTTTTGTATCAAAATTTGGATACAAAGATCTCTGTTGTAGAAGCCCCATCTTGTGGACAAGCAATCAATGACTATTTCAGCACAACTGAGATTTGAAATATTTAGAAAATCTGAAGGTATTTTGGTATTTTGTAGCAATAAAGTGGAAAGTCTTCATATTGCTGGACAATATGGAAACTTCATTCATGTGTAGAAATCAACATATGCTTTTTGAAGACTATTACCACAGGTGAGAAACAGTGAATTACAAAGAGGTGATAAACAGGGACGGAAACAAAAAAATTGTCCCTAGAACTCTGGTTTTAGTCTAAGCCAGCTAAAACACTAACAAGTCTTGAATTCTCAGAAGAATTTCCTTTAGCATTTCTATAGTATAGTATAAATTAGCCTTTGGGTGGCAAAATCATATAAAGGCTGAAGTATATTCGTTGAAAAAATGAAGACAGAATGGGAAAGTATGCATGATAACTGAATCTGGAAACTTTGAGAATATCCCTCCAACCCTAACCATTCTATGATATACTTGGTTTCAGCACAAAGTAATAGAAAAGGGCAACAACTCCAGACTCACTGAGATGACGTACTTGACAGGAAATCATTAGGTAGGTAAAAAAGAGTGTGAAACAAGCCTGTGATAAAAGCTATTTTCAGATTTCAGTATGACATTAGTAGAATAAAATATATATTCTATTATATAATATTCACTTTTTGTTACATAATATGCACATAGGAATTCTTTCTGTCACTCTGAAGCAATTGGGTTATTATATGATAGTTTTCTGTTTCTTCTATATGAAGAAATAGAAAAATATGATAGTTTTCCATTTAATAATAAAGGCTATAATAAAGTAGCCAGAAAGTGTAGCGACATCTAGGGAAAGCTTGGCAGAAGTGCCTCCATGCTAAAGCATCTGTAACTCCATTTTTTGCTTTATGGGTTGGCATTTGACAGCTATACTCCGTGCAAAAAGAATAATGTCTTGAGCAACATAACCTCTTTAGAAGCAAGCATAATGAATATGAGAACATGATCTTTATTTTAAGGTTTTAGAATGATCCCCGTAGGAGTTTGGAGGGCTGATAGTATTGAAAATCTGCTCTTGACTAAATTTGCAAGTTAGATCTGTGTGAATTTTAAGCAGGAGATGGGTTCGTGCTTAAATCCAATCTGCTCTTCAAAAGCCAGTCAACATCTCTAACTGAAAACGTAACCATTTTTTTTTCCTGTGAAGGTAATGTCCCCAGGGAAAGTTTGTTTGGTGTGACTTGCTTGGAAGGAATGACAAGAGGAAAAAGGAATATGGCATGTGAATAGGGTGCTATACCAGCCCTTTGTTGGGAGGGGAACAGAGGTTCCTATTCCTCCAGGCAGATGTCTGACTAATAACAGTGATTAAAAAAGAGACGAAAGTTCATGATCTGGACATTACAAAGCCAGGAAAGAATTTCCTAGTTCTTATCAGGAGGAGCCTGGATGAAATCTTCACTTTAAAGCCATATCAGGTACAATATATTTTAATACTTAAAATTACCTCTGAAAGTAAGTGTATATCTGCCATTTTACAGTTTAGTTTAAAATAACTGTTTACTTCATATAGATTTTCATCCTTCAGTAATCTGGGAATTTCATAGCCACAACTTGTTCATAACATAAATAGATGTAAAAAAGTCATTGTTTTTAACCAATTAACAGATAAAACTGTAAATGCGCATTACCAGCGTATTATTAAAACAGTCTCAGAAAAGCCTGCGGATGCTTAGGAGTTCCTCACTGACTCCTTTTGTTTCTCATAGCAATCCAAAGAAATAGAATTCTGTATTTTGGTCAAGGGCATCTTTGAGGAATTGTCCAAGCCAGGGCAAAACCTTTGAGAAAGATGCATATTCTCAATTGTAGCCTTGGTCTGTTCCTTAAGGAAGGGAATATTAAGCCTTTAGCAATATACAGGACTAAATCTTTTACCTGAGAGTAAATTCTGCTGGAACCAGCATATGCAATAAAAATACAAATCTTTCTTAGTGTGAAATGAAGTCATGAAAGGAGCTTTGTTGCTCCTTTCTGTAGAAGGTGTTTCTTCCTCAAGAGACAGGGAACACCAGATGCTAGTTTGACCCTCAAGGGAGGAGCATATGAAGTGTGAACAGCTACTTAAAATTCCCTGCACTTAAGCAATAAAGCATGAACAATTCAACAAGAGGAATACAGACACATTAGTGTGGTATGAAATCTAGAGAAGAAGCTGTAGCCTAGGAGAAGAAAATGAATATGTAAAGTCTGTAATAAAAGGGTGTTGGGAAACAAGAATTTATTCCAGAGGTGTCCAGGGAGGGAATAATGACTATTCCACCGAGTACATTCATTGTAGTACAGAGAAAGGGCAACCTCTGGTATGAAAGACAGCCTGTGTCCTTACTCTGAGCAGAAGGCCCTAGAAAAAGGTGGTATGGGTGAAAGCAAAAGTCTGTAAAGGAGTATGAGACACAGGCAAGCATTCAGTGGTACTTTTCATATTGGATTGTATTAGAAACTAAAGTTGCTTTTATATGCCCATATCGGAGGAAGGAAACTGATGGCATCAAGACGCTGAAGAGTAATCTGTTGGACATTCCCCTGCTAGTATGTACGATAAAACATTCAGTTGCAGTGTATCATAAACAGAGGGTTAATTGCTAAAGTTGCAGAGTAATATGCATCTCTTGTACTAATAGGTTTTTATCAAGAAGATACAGCTCAGAGTTTAAGTGTAAATTTGCAGTAATCCACTGCAGAAGAACTGTGTGGGTGTATAAAATTGATTTGAAAAGGAATGAAGAGGTGTGAATTGCTACTTTTTAAAGATAAAAACTTAGTGCACAGGTAGGTCATGTGTACTAAGCACATGAAAACAAGTCTTCATCATTCTCTCTTTATTATGCATATTTTTGTAAATGTTTTCTTTGGTCACTTCTAGCCTTTCTATTATTAAATCTTTGCATATTAGATTTTTATTGATATAAAAACGTTAAGAGATGTAATAATACAGATATATGAAGCGATTTAATATTAAAAAGATAGATTTTCAATGAGCATTTGAAAGCAAGACTTGATGTGTTATGTTGCTACAAAATTCAATATATGCAGTTGAACTCTGAGCACTTGCGTTTATAATGTATGAAGGGGTTCTCTTAAAACCATGTCTTCATTATGTCATTTGAATTCCAACTCTGGTATGTAATTTTAGCATAGTACTTTCTATCTGATTTTCAGCAGTGTAGGTTTTTGCAGCTAGGTGGGTCATGCTTTGAGCGGATTCTTCTTTTTAATCAAAAGGAAGAAAGCTTTTGCTTTACCTCTTTATAAACTCACCAGAGCCACTCCTTCATACCAGAGTTCATGTTTTATTGACCAGACAGTGTTTTGTCTTGCAATTAACTTCTGCAAGGATACAGTGCTGTAGAAGCTATTAAAGAACAATACTGTTGTTACTGTAATATTTACCAGCATAATTATTTAAAGTATACGTTTCATTACTTACGTTTTCATGTCTGTGTGGTACATGTATCAGGCTGTTCCATTACTCTGCACCTGTACTGTCTCTGCCTTCTGCCCACTCCTCTTCTAGCCCTGTACCTTTCTCCAGATCTATGTTGGTGCCACATTGCCATGACCCCACTGCTGCTTCCATTAGTCACCACCATAGGAACCATGTTCCCAGAGACAGATCCTGGTCCCTATGCAAAAACAGATCAGCAAGGTAAGAAGGAAAAGCCCCTGCTATCACCAGCCAGCTTGAAATTCTTCCAAGCCTTGTCCAAAAGGGTCAATAATTCTTGTAGTAAGACACTTTTTCTGGTATTAGTGTCATGAACATTTTAAAATGGCATCAGCCATTAATTACTATCACAACTTTTAACTCTCTGTTTCTGTTTCAAATTTTCCCCAGTTCAATCAGAACCAAAAGTTAATGCCCATTGGCTAATTTCCAGTGCATGCCTCCACAGAACAACTGTTGCCTTTAACTGGTGGAGAGATCAAGGCTTGAACTGACAAAAGACATCTGTATCTTGGAAAACAAATTAATGTTTATGTTTTAATTTATAAGTTCCTGGCTCTTTTACGGTTCCTGTTTTTCAAGTAACGTCTCTTTGGATTCCTAGCTGATGGAGAGTCAAAATGGAAAAGGCCCATGAGAGAATTATCACAATACAACATCTGGTCTGCATTGGAAAGAGCAGAGAAAGATATTCAACATCTTGGAGACCAAGAGGCAGCTGTGAGGCACTTTCAAAGTCTGTGAAAAATCGTGCAGGTTGTGGCCACCTGGGCCAATATAGTATTGTTTTGGGATGAGCTACTCTGCTTTCTAGAATCTGGATTTTAATCTCACTTCAGTACAGATACATGAGAGCTGGGAGTGGTATGAAAGGTGTTTGCTTTTCATAATGTTAATCTGAATCCCAGCATTGTCCTAATTATATTGTGGGGTTTTGCCAGTCTCACAATTTTCTTTTCAGCGTGTTAGCTAGGAGTCAAAAGGCTTTCTCAGGGCTTTTGGCATAGCTTTATAGGAAAAAAGGATGGAAAGGACTTTGTGTATTTTTGGAAGAATATTTTGCATCCTGCTTTAAACTATTCCAGAAGGTTAAAGGACATTAGCTACACTGCATATTGGCTAGGGTACTGGTATGTCATTAACGGCAAGTTTTGCTTTGTCTAATTGTTCAGGTTTCTTCAGTCACAGACTATGAGAAATGCAAAGAAATCATGGAGCAGCCCAGGCAGTAAGGTTACCACTGGATTCAGAGGGAACAAAGTCCTTCCACCACATGAAACTTTGGTCCTTTAAGTCATCATAGCTCATGCAGAACATAAACAATTTGACATGTATAACAAGAAACACTGCAAATTGTTTTCCAAACAGGCATATACTGCAGATGGAAGAACTGATGAAAATTGTTTATAAATGAGGAACTAAATGTAGATTTTTCGAGAACAAGGTTGCTCTCTTCCTTGCCAAGACAAACAAATCTGATAGAACATCTCATTGCTTTAGGCTGCCTGAGGACCCACTGGAAAGTCTATGGACCTTTCTCCACAGTAAATTTGTGTGTTGTCAGTACATAAGCGTATTGTCCACAGTTGCACTGTGGCAGCTGCAGAGGAAGTGGAAGGTTCTCAAGGAATACATGAGGGAGAACTAGATTTTTGGCTCCTAACACAGTATGGAGTGCTTTTGGAAGCTGTGGAAGTTTATGAGCTGAATGTTACTGCTACAAAAGGTTATCTGTGAGTTAAGCATAATGGTAATTAATCTGCTATCTGTAGATCTTGACACTGACAACATGATGAAATTGAGAATTCCTGTTCTTTAGAATTGCAGTTTTCCAAAATGCCTTCATTCCTATAATGACAGGATTGTTAGAGGTTTTCAGTGCACAGATGTTTTTACAAGGCAGTATATAGTCATCCCAAACAACTGTTTTTAATGGGACAGTTATTTAAAAAAGCATGTAACAAGAGCATAAATACAGTCCCTGATACTAACATAAAACATGTATTAGCAAAATAATATAGTTTTATTTCCCTCATACGTAGCAGGCCCTGGAAATATAAAACTAATCATGTCCTTAAAATACTGTTATAGCTGTAAACATCTGGAAAAGAGGACCAGCAGCATCCTCAGCTGCATTAGGAAAAACATTGCCAGCAGGTCAAAGGAGGTGAATGTTCTCCTTTACTCAGCACTTGTGAGACTTCAGCAGGAGTAATGTGCCCACTTTTGGGCTCCCCCCAGCAAGGAGGACATGGACATACTGGAGTGACTGCAGGTAAGTCCATGGAGGTGATTAAGAGACAAGAGCATCTGTGATATGGTTACCCAAAGAGGCTGTGGAGCTGGCATCCTTAAAGGTACTCAAAACTCAATTGGGCAAACTCCTAAGCAGCCTTATTTGGGTGATTCTGCTTTGAGCTGGGGGTTGAACTGGATGGTCTCCAGACGTGCTTCCAACCTCAGTGGTACTGTGAATATTTGAAGCAGTTTGCTTATGTCTGGTCAGCATTTTAGCTGGAACTTGACTGCATAGGAATCCTAAAGAAAGCAAAGTCTGTAACCCTAGAAATACATCCAGATGGCTGAGGCCCAGAAAAGGCATAATGAGAGCTGCTAAGTATTTTGAATGTCTCCTCAGAGTGATATTTCACTTAAAAATACAAATATAGAAGTGACTTGGGTCTTCTTATCAATGACATTGAATACCCAGTGATCACTAGTATGATCTCTTGTTTCATCTGGACTGTAAAGGGTAATAGCTTCTCTCTATTTTAGTTTAATCTTGCTCTGGAAAATCTTACCATATACCTTATTTTATAAATGAATATTTGATGCTTTATGGTGCAGAATTAATTTGTTGGTTTGTTACATGCTTTCTTTCCTTATTAGTACTGATATTAAAATATTGCAATGTGTTTTGACATATTACTTCAGTAATAGGCACATACTATGTGTCAAGGACTTGAGAATGTCATCATTTGATCAAGGTAAAATCAAAATATATAATTACATTGCATATTCTATGGCACTTAGTGTCTAACTATTCTTACAGCACCTTCAGACAACAAAGATTAAATTCAGAAATGGCTTTCATATTTTCATGACACAAGTTTTATATAGCAAGGCAAAATAATGTATTTTTTTAGGTCAGCTGAATAGTGATAGGAAGATTTACCTTTGGTTTTCATCATGAAAATGCCAAGGAACTAACTTGCAGTGTTGAGAATTCCCAGGTCCTCCTTTTGAAAACTCTTTGTCTTTTGTGTTGCCTCTAGGAAAAAGGGAAAACATTCTGGAAAACAAGAAATGAAGGAATGTTGTACAATGAATTAAGAAATAAATAGATTATAGAGCGCTTAATTTTAGTTTTCTGCACTCCAGAAAATGAAACACTAAGAAATAACCTGTTTCTTTATTATCAATATATGGAGTCACACTGGGTTTGGCAGACAACGACAGCAGCTTATGAATAGCAACTGTGATAATTATTAGAAGACCATAAATTTTGCAGTGGCTGAACTCATCCTAAAATCACAAAATTAAGTCTTCAGACATAAGTAACATACGAAGGTCAAATACACTTAGTCATAAGTTGCTATCATCTGCCATCACTTTTCCATGACTTAGTGCTCTTACAGCAAATCTCCTCTGATTGCAGTAGACTCTGCGTGGGATGGGGGTTTTGGTGGGGAGAGTGTTACTTTAAATTGGCACCTCTAGCAGCAGTTCCTATTTCTAATGTTTTCCTTTTATACATTTATAGCCTATTATATCTATCCAAGCCTGGCATAGCTCCAAGTCACCCATTTCTCAGTAATACAGGAAATTAAATCTAAAGTCTAATAAGCACGGAGGCTTATGCAACCTTCATTCGCTGAAAAAAGTATTATGTAACTTAATAATATTACCTTGTCTTTTGATGGCTAGAGAGTTGTGCACTTTGTTTCTCTGTAGACCAAATAGGTTCTGCATTTGGACTACAGGAGGCTGGGTTGATCCAGCATTTTCTGCAAGCTTTCTGAATGTCACCTCAATATTACTCTCTTGTTGAAGGACTCCCTGAAACTTCCATGTCTACGGTTTGGCGCCCTTCTTCCACTTCTCCCTGTGGTAGGAACCCAGTCCGTTCCCTGGTGCAAGGCCTGTGTACCCTGTATTCTTACCCCAGGGGTGCTGAGTGCTCTCACTCATTCTTCCCCCCGGGATTTTCTCCAGCCTGACCAGATTTCTGCCTATTCTATCCCATTTTCTATTAATACCCCCTGCAGTTCTGTGTTGGTGGGTGCAGCATTTGAAAGTGCAGAAATCTGGCTTGAGACCACGCAGATTAGCACCATAATTTCAGGGTCTTGTCTCCTGCATGTATCGGTTTATTAAGTGGATTTATACTGAATAATTTTAAACTGTTGCAGCCTTCTGAAACTGTTTCTGTAACACACAGAGTGACATAAGGTCACCGGTGCTGTGGAAATTGGTTTTGCAGCTGATATGTTAATTCAGCAAGAGATGAGTTCTTGCAGAACACGAAGAAAATGATTTTAATATAGTGCCATGCTACTTCATTGGCTTTCAGGAAAGAGGTAATTAAGACATTCAAGGGAGATTCAGGTCTCTGGAGAAAGTACCATTATGGAAATACAAGGTTATTTTTACTGCACAGCTTATTAGCTGCTTTTCTAAAAGCAAATCAACTGAATGTGGTGGACTCAAAATAACATTTTCACCTGCTCAGGAAGATGAGAGATAAGGTACTTCTGTAAACTGAGTTCAATATAAGACTTGTCACGGTCTCTCCTGTGTCACTCACCCCAGGTTTACAGTAACCACTGCTGCAGTTTTCTGGATGACAGCTTTCATCCAAATACATCCAGGGCCCTTAATATGGCTCTACTAGTGCAACTAATTGCAATGAGGAACAGAATTACATTCATGATGCCTGAGGAGAAGGAGAATCTCTGCACTCGGTATGAATAAGGGGTAGCAAAGGCCTAATTTTTCAGAAATAATTAAGTTAAATTGAAAATAATTTTAATAGCCAATCCCAAAGAAAAATCACCAGGAATTTAGAAGCCCTGTATTTTTTCCAAACAGTGCGCTTATACCAGGGAATTACTGAGCACCAAAAGTATAATAACTGTTATATTTACTGTATGAAGATACGAAAGGAAAACAATTTTACCAGCATAAACTGCTTCATCTTTTTGAGATGAAGAATGAACAAAATAAAATTGAGTTTCTAAGAAACAATTCTAAAAAATCTCTATTATAAAAATTGTATTAGATTTTACAAGGTATTTTAATATTGAGATAATAACGGAGAAAATGGCATTTTACTCTATGTTCTTTCATAAAACAGGTACGATAGTGCTATTCCCAGAGGAAAGACACCAGTTCCAACAAGAGTAGTGTCTGTTCTAGAATTAAGGATAACTTCTCAAAATATCTACATAAACAAGAAGGTTAAAAAGCTTAATGTGAAAATAACAATCTCTTCTTGAACAGCATCTACTGTGTCCAGCCTATTCTGTTTCAGATGGCCCAGGAGCACAAACAGGTATGACATCATATCATTTTACATCATTAATGGAAGTGTTTCCTTTCAAAACTACAATGTTATTTTCTGCCCAAGCTTTCTTTCATTAATTCCAAAGTTATTTTGACCCAACCATCTCTATGTATGTTTAGCTATGTTACCTAAACACGGTTTTCCAGTACTTTCTAGTATGGACTTTATACTGAACAATTTGTTTAATTGCATTACATGACATTTTAATAAACTAACTTTCTAAAAATCTATATTGATGTCTATTCTGATCTTTCCTGATAATCTGCTTCAGGGTGGCATTATTATGGAACAGACTACCTTGGAGGTTGCTTTAGCTATTTTAACTTCATTCCTGTAATCCACCACAGTCTTAATTTTTCAGCTGCTAACTTCTCTGACAATGAACATTGTTATAAAACCAGTTATTTAAGAGAGAGTAAATTTGACTCTGAATTTCATTGTCACCAAGGTTTCTTTGTTGGTGCAATACCTGTAGATGGATTATTTTCAGCAGAGTCTTCAGAGGCTCTGCCAGTGCCTCAGCAGTACTCCTCAAACCTCTTCTGCTGAGACTATGCCGCAGTGGGTGGCAGTAATGATGATTTAACTCCTTTACTGAAGATGGATAACTACAAGAATAGAGAGGGATCTAATATGTGGAATCCATGTGAGTAACGTCACCAAAATCCAGTAAACCACAGCTGCTGGGTAAGATCTGCAAACTCCATTGGGAATGAGTTTGCTTTCCTGGCTGACAGAGCTCAGTGTATCATTTTAGCTTGTCTGAGATTTTCTGTGCTTGGTTTCTTCCCAAAGTGGTTTGGTTTTCTCAGATGCTAGACCACTTCTTCCAAGAGTTATCTTAGGTGTCAAGCAAGCTTCTCTGGAGAAGTTTGTTAACTATTTATTCATTTGGTTCAGTTTAGGGAACTGATGTTTGCTGTAACACTCCATTTCAGTTCAAAATGGCTCGAGGGCAGTGGGCAGTTGTGGAGCAAGCTCTGAGGCTGCCAGCCAAAAACTTGATTTACTGGTTATTCCTGTCACTATAATGATTAATTGGGAAGAGTTTGCAGAAGAAGTGAGAAGAATGAAACTTGTGCAAATTTCATTTAAAAAGAGATACTAACAAAGAGAAAAAATCATCGACTGAGACAGCTACTTAAAAGACTTTTTCTTAACTGAAGGCTTTAAAATTTCTGTGCCTTGCTTTTAACAGTTATATATTTGTCAGACTAGAAATGGAAATGCTCCACTGAGTAAACTTTCACATACTGCTAAGGAGAGTTTGGAGAAGGACTGTGGTATGGTCAGTATTAATTGAAGGGTCTGTAGTGTTTGGGCTACAGAGGTCCATTTGAAGAAGAGACAATACTATGCCAGAGACATGGAAGCTGTTCATCCCCGACAGAGTTTATGCATGTGTGATCCCCAGGCAGAATATAGCACAGTCCATTGACAATCCAAGAGGGGAGGAGCTGGGTCCAAGTCTTCTTATCCACCTTCACTTTATGCAAGTGTAAATAACAAATTGTATGCAGTAACTTTTTGAAGAGATAGAAATAGAAAATGCAATTCAGTGTTTAAGGTTGCATTCTCAAGCTTACTCGCATAGGCACACTTAGGATGGATACACGCTGCACACAACTTTGAGAGCTCCTGCTATTTTCAGTTCTGGCTCCTGTGCTTTACTGACTCGACTGTATAGTAGATAGAGTACTCATAACAGTAATACCCTGTTACCTTAACTGTGAAAGGTTTTTCTGGGAATCTAATGTCCAACAGAAAAGAATTCATTGTTTTGTTTTGTTTTTTTCAGCAAGCATTTAAAAGATCCACCAGTTCATCTCTATCACAGCTTATTTTTCTTGTGGCTTAGCTTGGACACTAATCTGCCTGTTGAGTTTACATTTATGGAGTACGACCTAATATTTTCTCCACGCGTTCGGTATTATGATTTTGATTTTGCAAGTCTTGTTGCTTGGGATACTTGCACAAGTCATGTCTGTTTGCACAGCAACGACAGAACTGGGGTTCAGATGCTGCTAATTAATCAGTCAAGAAGGAACAAAAATAGTTCTGAAGGCTACTACTCTTGGCTGATGCTCAGAAGTGTTGGTAAGAACTGTAGAGACAACTGAGTACACTGCTGGCAGTATTTGTTATACATTTTATTTCATAAGTGGATTTTTAGGATTTTTTGTTTTAATTTAGTTATTTTACTCTGCTTAGCAGTTCTTGTCTGAATACACTTGTTGTTTTTCCAAAATGCCTGCTCTGGTTTAGGTGCTTTTGTTGGCACTAGTCAGCTTTTCATCCATGTAGTAATGTCCACAAGGTGGTGCCACAGCTAAAAAGTTAGCAATAAATAACACAAGTATAATTTGATAATTCTATCACGTTTTTATAGCTGACTGAAGTATCTGCATCATCAAAGAATTAATAACTGTTTTATAAGCACATCATCTGCATTTCTAATGACATCACAGTTTTGCAAGCCTGTTTTTTAAATCACTTGTGTAAGCAGAGCTGGGTCTGTTTGCTGTCTGAGTGGGAGCAACACACACACGTGTGACAGTCCAAAATCATGTACAAAAGGGAATAAGTAGACAGGCTGATGATGAATGTAGAACTGTGTCTGTAGAGACTAAGACCAGCAGAGCTGTGTATGTCCTAGCAGGGTTACCAGTGCAAAGATCATGCCCACCAAAGTGTCTTCTCATGAACGACACAAGGAGATGTATGTCTAGATTGCTTCAGCGGTACCACAGGAGTCAGCCTGAATCTGGACAAGCAGAATAGTTCATCCTCAGCTTCAGCTAAGTCAGCTTCCATGTAATCATCCTGGCGTGGCCATGGCATGTGGTAGCCTCGGAGGTTTTTCTGCAGCCAGCAATAGCCTTATTTCCCTGTCGTACAATAATGTACAGTTGACTGTTAAATCCAAAGTTCTTACAGAGGGACCTGCTATGAGAGCAGTTGGGCTGGTATATACAGGTAAAATTTGGTAGGAGCCTTTTTTTCTTCAATCATAGTTAAAAAGACAGCCACCCCAAACTGCAATTAGTGAAGGTGATCAAGTGTATGAGCCCCTTTCTACACAAGATCAGACTAGAGAAAGTAAAAGGCAATAACAGGGAATGCAAAATGAGTACACAAATCAACCACTCACTACAGAAAAAACAACAAAATTTACTGGATAAAGTTCTTTGTATGGATCTGAATGGCTATACTGTTTTATAGCAAATTTGCATGTCCCAGAAGAGCTGAAGTGCAGAGGTGCTTGGTCATTCCTCTCAGCACATTTGTTCCATTCTTCAGCTGCCCTTGGCCACATGGCCATGGTTGCTTCTTGCTCCTCTCAAATGACCTCTGCGATGCAGGTATGCATGCTAACCCAGTAAATATTCTCCATAACATTCTGCAATGGATAGATAAGTTTGAATCATTATTCATCACATTATTTTGTACCAAAAGCAGCAAGAAAAAAGGGTAATTTAAGATAACTTTCAAGCAAACATTGCGTTTGTTGTTTCTTCCTGCTAGAATCTATCATAATAATGATAGACCTGTATCCGAAAGGTAACAGGTGTTGCTTAATGTATTTTCTCTAAATTGCTGTATTATTGTTATAAAACACACTAAAATTCTGGTGGCTTGTAAGGAATTCAGTGGAAATTACATATACTTATGAAAGATGGTCTGACCCCCAACTATAAAGCAGAATGAGAGTAGAGGTTTATCAGGTCCAATTCTAAAAGTCGTCAGATAACACAACTGCCACCTCTTTTTGTTTTTTCTAAGGATCATATTTTTAAATTGTATTTTAAAGTGGCTTATGTTTTTTTTTTTTAATTTGTATTGATTTTAGCATCTGTTTAGAAAGTCAGAATCACAGAACCAGCTAAAAGAGCAAAGTCACTGAACAGGCCAGCTAGATTTATTTTGCAGGTCAGTCACTCTGGTCAGTTAGTTTGGACTGAATCACGACAGTGACGTTTGATCAGAGTACTTCTGTAAGATTGTTCTGAGTCTATGGCTGCAATGTGTGTTGCAATTAGAATGATGTGTTTCTGGTTTAGTTTGGACTTCGCTTTTTCTCTGACTTCATAAAATGACTTTCAAAAATGTGTATTTTTCAGATGTCTTACACAGAGAAGAAACAATGCTCAATTCTAAGAGGAATTGCAGAGCATCTGAGACCATACCTTTAAGTCTTCACTGTATGTAAAACCCAGGTATTATCTTTTTAAGATAATTTAATAATTAAATTAATAATTTAATGTAATTTAACAACCAAGATGAAATCCTGAACATTTGCCCTTGCAATATTTGTGTGATTTTGGGTTTTGCTGGAAATCCCTTAAGTGCTTTTAAAACATCAAAACTATTTTTCCTCTAGGTCTGGTTTTCTGGTTTCCCATTTAGGCAGTCATGAACAAAACATGCTTTAGCCCTATGTCTATACCTAAATCTACATTTAGATCCCTTTAAATATTAGAAGGAGGTAATTTTCAGTGTTCTAAGTTAGGAGTCAGCCTGAGCACGGCTCAGAAATCATCCTGCAGATGCACAGTGTTAACCGGAAACAATTTAGAATGGCAGTGGTATCCTGCAGGATGTGTGCAACTCGTTCGGCAATGTGTTGATTTACACAGGACTACATTATAGATTATACATTCTGGTAATTGTGGTATTGTTATTGCCAGGCTATATCTAAGCACAGGAAATACATATAAGCGCATTTGAAGTGATAACATCCACTTCTGTTTAAAAAGCAGTATTTTATTCGTGTCGAAAAACTCACATAATACAGCATTTGCAAGAGAAAATAGACAATTTCCAAATTAGGACTTAGCAAGACTTCTAGGGAAAAAGCTGCTTCATGATGGGAGGCCCATAACCAGCATTTGCAAGTAAATCCACAAACTTTTATTCTCAATTGCTTTAAAAAATACGGGGTTTTTGTATGGACTCTAATCCAAGAACAGAAGGAGACAATGCATTTCCATCTGAAAACACAAGAAAGATCAAAATAAATGTTTAGTGTGTCACCAAAACCACAGTACAAGTTTCTGTTAAAGAGAATGAGTAATACCATTCTAGCTATTAGAATGCTGTGAGTAGATAATAATTCCATCTGACTGGTAGGGCAGATTATGTATTCTGCAAGAAAATTATCCCATCTAAAGTCTTGCCCTATTTCATCACCTCAGTAGGAAAGCCTACCCACCATACCCGTTTACCTGAAGCCCCTCTATGCTTGCTTGTCTAATATTGGGATTCAGGAACATCCAACATCCCCAGTCCTGTCTTGAAGTTCAGGAACAGTTTGACTCAGACCTTGACTTGAAAATGCACGCAGGGTCCTGCTACTGCTCCCAGGATGTAGGATTTGGGTTCATCCTCAGCTCTGCAGCTGAAGATAGCATACAGTGAGGCCGTGAGGCCCCTCTCAGAGCCCTTCTCACCATTTCTCTGTAGAAAGCACAGGCTTCAGACCAATCTATGCACTTAGGAAAATGACTGATCAAGTCAAAGGTCTCCCAAGTTTCCCCCCTGGGAGGGGGTATGGATCTCTCCAGAATGACGAAATATCCATCAGGGTTTGTATGACAACCTCTTTTCCACAGGCAACACTAACTGACAAAACGTAGTTAACTATTATGCATGTTATGCCTGCTTCTTAGTTTGTTTCACCAGGGAAAATATATTAAAATTGGTATAAAGTTTCCCTCTTGTTCCTCCCAACAATAGAAAATTACCAGGGAGAGAAAATAAGACAAAGATTTAACTTTATGGAATAATTAGAGGAGAGCATATGATGCTCTCTCAAAAGGCCTTCCAGCTAAACTTCTTGTTTTTTCTTTAACATTGTGAAACATTCTTGTCTGTGTTAATACATGAGAAAAGTAACAGTAGAACTGTGAAACTGATTAATACATCCAAGAAATACAAACCCCTGGGCCATAGCTCAATCTGTATCCATACTGCAGCGTGATGGCAATTGTATCACAGGGTAAAATCAGAACTGGAGTTGGTGCTGGTGCATACTTTCCCTTTTTGTAATCCTGGAGCTTGTAATACTGTTGCAGATCAATAACATCATGCTATACTGTGTAACTGATTTGTTGAAATGGTAGTTGAGAGTGGGGTTCTAAATAGACACTGCAACATACAGTAAAGGATTGGCCTACAAATGGGTCTAATGGTGATGTGATGAACACAGACATAAAATAGCCCAAAGCCTAATGATTTGCTTCACAATTTCATTAAAAACTTTTTATTGGGTTTCAGGTTTTTTTATCTTTATTATTTAACATCAAGAATACATTTGTAATTGTGCATTCATAAATGCTACTGGTGTGACATTTTTGTGCTGACAGTCAAACTAACACTGAACAGAACTTCAGTTTTGTCAGATCTCATATTAGCCAAACTTTGTAGTACTAAGGTGGCTCTAAGTTAATATTAATATGCCTTTGCTTGGGGAGGGCTTATGATAGTCTTTTGGAAGTGTCATTTGCTTAGGTAAGCTTTCGTTTAAAAAATAATATGAAAATGTTTTTAATTTTAAATACAATCTACAGTATTTTCCTGACTGGGAATCTCTGTGCCTAAACTTGTCATATCCTGTTTAACAAAGGAGCCGCTTCAATAGCACTTACAGTACTTAATGTTATGCAGATTTTCAGTTTGTTGCTGTGATCTGGGCTTTAAAAGCAAAGGTCAGGTAAAGATCCCTCCTTGGAACACACTAGAATATGAACCCAAATGTTTATTTTTTGTCATAAGCCTACTTATTTAATAGACCATTTATGACTTTACTTTTAATATAATTAAATGTATTTGTGTGAGTATCAGGAAGAAAAAAATACATATTCTCTGTTGAGCAGCATTCCTAACATGGCTGCAGCATGCGTGACTCTTTCTGCAGTACATTCAGATGATGGCTTTCTTTAAGAGATGTTGCCTGGAAAAATCTCTCACGATTTCAAAAAGGGATTCTAATGCCTGCCTATTTCACATGGGAAAATTCATTTCATCACTCTTTTACATGACATCAAAATAATTGTGTCTTTCCTTAATTGTGACTATAGAGGATCAATTACAATGGAAATTAAAATACCAGACTCTGCATGCCATACAATTTGTAATTAGCTTGAGATATCCAAAGGAAATTCTATAAGTTACTTCAGTCTTTTCATTTGGTCTCAGATGTCTCAGCTCTGTCTGATTTTGAGTTTATAAGAGCAGCTTGTCACTGAATTTTTGGTGGAAATGTGTCTGTTTGTATTGAATGCTCTAATGAGTCCTCATCATTAAAATCCTCTGAGTTCTGTCGCTTGCAAGGAACTGTGTGGAGCCCTGGAGCCCTTGTGACTGTTGGAATAACTCAGAAGTTTCCTCACCTTGCTTGAGCAGTATGACATAACCCTTAAACACCTGAAATACCTTTAGGGCTTAAATATTTGGTGTAGATACCTAAAAGATAAGAGTTTCTTAAGCGTTAGAAAGCAGAGTTTGAAGATCAGATTGAGCCATGTCTCTTGCATTTACTTCTCTAATAAAGCTGTCAAGATGCTGACCAGCTAGCCTGATAGATGCGCTCTTCTATATTTTGGGTAAGTAATTGACTGGGCCTGGGCTCTACTGCATAAGTTATATCTGAACCCATTTGCAGTTATTTTAGGTGACACAATAAAGCAGTCAGCATAAACTGAGAAAACCTTGTCAGTGCTTTGTCAAGCATGCCAGAAAAAAAAGATTCAGAACCAAAGGTGTAATTTCAGTTAATTGTCTGGATGCTGAATATTGTTAATTCACACTAGGGCTCATATTAACCCAAAACACTGTCATCTAGCATCCATGCAGGCAAAATTGTATTTCTTGCTATATAGAAGCCCATCTAGATACGATCCAGTTTGCTCTTCTGTCTCTGATTTCAGTCTGCAAGGACAACAGGAACAGAGGCTGCAGATGGCCTGGGATTCCCTTGCATTTGATTGTGTGTCAGCAGCCTGATCTAATCAGGCAAGTCTGTTTTTCCAGAAAATAAAATTATTATAGACAACAACATGGTGAATTGAAAACTTCTCAAAGTTGTTAAATTATCTGGTTTTGAAAAGGAACTGTATCAAGCAGATACTGAGCAAGGCAATGAAGCCTAGTGGGCAGAGTGCTGGACAGGGATTGAGAAATCTGGGTTCTTTTCCAAACTCTCCTGACTTTTAAATGACCTTGAGCTGTCACTTCACTGTGTTTCAGTTTCACTGTCTGTGTGAGGAGGATAATAATCCTCCATAATGATTTTACATTTACTGAAGAAAGGTTCTGTATCAACACTAAGCATTCTAAATGCAGCTCTGGTTAAAGATGGGCAGGATTTGGTCAATACCTCATGTATTCCAGAATATCTGGGAAACTTTGGTTGTTAGACTCCCTGCTTTCAATTGTCTCTCAAAACGCATTTCCATGCTAAAGGTCTTTCTTATCTTTCAGACCATTACAAAATATC